AAATTCGGACGGATTTTTAACTAATAAAACGATGAATCGTGCAACCATTGTATTTTTATATAAAATAATTAATGTAGGAACAACGACCATAGTTTGCACTTTACACGGTGAAATAAAAAATACAACATAGGTGTGTTAGAGTGAGTTGGAATATCTCTGCTTTGCGAGTACAATTTGTCACTGTCTCCGCCAATTTCCCCTTGTAACTAGTTTTTTCTTTCGTCGCGTAAATTTAATTTCAGTTCTTTGTTAAACCAGTTCGAAGCGGTTGTAGGTGACTGAAGTATACTAACATTTTTTAACAGGCGTGTGTAACTTTCAAGTATAGTAGTGTTGTAATAACATTATACTCGCTTTGAGTTTGGAATATATAATCTTTATAGGTAAAACTGTCTTATTATAAACCTTTTTTACCTTTGATATTATCTATATCTGGATATAGAAATTTAAATAAGAAAGAGAATAAAAGAGTTTTCCCTCGAAATTTGGTTATGTTCCCTTTGGAGTAGAGACTCTTGGGCCGTGGCGTTAGTGTACAGGCGCTAATTAAAGATTTAAGTTGGCGACTAGTAGATAGTACCGGTGACTCTAGAGCTGGTGCTTTCGTCGCTCAACGAAGAAGTATCGCAATACAGCGAGGAAATGCTGCCAGCATTATAGCTACATTACCGCGGGGACCAAACTTTTTAAACTTGTTTAAGTTTTCTATTTATAATTTTTTTATTATTATTTATTATATAGGTATATGTTCTGTGTAGGTTAAAAATATTGTAAATACTTTTTATTTGTATGTTAGAAATAAATATATTGTCATTTGAACTTTAAATAAAATATAAATATAACATTTTTAAACAATATTATCTCAAAGTATGTGTAAAAATACTTGCTTACATTAAACAATTATATTTATGTAACAAAAGTCTTGTTAACATAACGTTTTTATACCGACTACCTGAATCAATTCAATCAAATGAAACACGCGTTGCCATTTTCCAGTAATACTCTTACAATAGGACTTAATAGAACGGTCAAAACTTGTCCAAATAGAGGAGCAATTTGTCTACCAAATTACAATCACGAAGAGAAATATTTTTATTACTTAGAAAGCTTTGCCAAATGTAAGCGACATCCGAACGGTTCTTAAGAAAAACATTCATCGTGGTTAGGCACTAGCTTCGACAAAATGGCATAGCGCCAAACGATCCAGAGAACAATATATAGAATTTCTCCTTTAAACTTTTAGTTGCTTAGCAAGAAAAACTTTTCTATGCATCAATTTTTCAAAACAGTTCAATATACTCGTATTCAACTAGCACGTAACGCATTATTTTTCGACTCTGCTTTGCTTTGGAATAGAGTTTTGTCTAAATAGTTATAATACAACTATCTATTTTCTATTCATATAATTATTACATTATATTATATATATAATTTATCCTAAACATAAGTATGGCAGTAATGGAAATTAACAGAAACCAAACTTTTTAAATTAAATTTTTGATTATTATTATGTTTTAAGGTTTATATTATAATTCTCATTAAATTATTTTTCTACTTTGACTGGAATGTTTATGAAGACTTTATACTATAATTAATTAGGTTAATTAATTAAGACATAATAAGCTAGTCTCAGTTATTAAGTACGGAAAGTTAGTATTGAAAAGATTTAAAGTATCAATAAAATATAATTAACGTAATATTATAATTAATATTAGATATTGTAAATTGGTGCCTGAAGCGTAGTTGCTTTAGTGATTATTAAAAGTTACTGTAATAGTTCTATATAATAACCCTGTGAAACCTTTAATGGGTCCTGGCATCCGTTTAGTTGTCTTCAATTCTTTTTCATAAACAGAGGTGTTCATCAGTTTTACATTTAGAGTCAGCCGTGTGTCAAAATCGTATTGGAACTCAGCGAAAGCGTCAAGGTTTCCTTGTTTACGCATGAATAGGAAAATGCATAGGTGCATTAGTCGTGTTTCGAGAACAACCTCAGTTAAGAGATGTCTTTATTAGTAGCTTACCGTTTTTTCAACGCTTTATTAAACACAGAGGATGGTCTTGTTTAATGTGTGTTAAACTTAGTAAAGTGACACATAGCCAGTGGCATTAGATGCGCAGAAGCCCTCACATAACTGGTCTTGTCTGAGAGAAATAATTACAATTACTTCCTCATTCAATATTCATAAAAGAGATAAATTGGCCCAAATGTTTTGAAACGCTACATAACTCATCACGTTGTGATTTTTGTTCTAAGAGCCTTTCGGATATTAATATCAGTTTGAAATTTATTTAATCAATGCTTTATAGCGAGGGTGGAATTTCAAGTAGCATCATTATCAACGGTGTCACGTACACGCTGTTTTGGAGTGGTCATAAAATTTTTCTCCTTTAAATGTAATACATTTTTATACCAGTTACATTTTACATAAGTTTACTTTTATTTTTGGGTTATTTATAACAATTGTTTTAATGCCTCTGTTTGCGATTCTGTGGTAGTTAATGTTTGTTTTTATTTAAAAACTTTTTATATATGTGTAGGAGTTTAGTTACTTAATTAAAACTAGTGGATATCTGCTAGGTGAATATGAATTAGGTAACTCTCAACCCTACGGGTTAGCATCAAATTTTTTAACCCAATTAAATTTTTTTTCCATATCCGGATTTACATTTGCTTTAATGTGGAAACCAAAAACCGCAAGCGAAGTGGCATGAGGTGCAAATATGTCAGGGGATTATCAATTTGTCTCTAAAATGCAAATCATGTAAGAAACTGATGCGACCTGAAGCTTGGACCCCCTATATGGCTTATGTACCTATCTATTATTAATTTTACTCTAGCTAACTAGATAAAGCTAAATTACACTGCTTTAATGACGTATTTTAGACTACAGTATTCTTTATAGTACATTAAGAAGATGGCGATGTATGATCGTGTCTCGGATGAGACACGATGATGGCGTAAAGTCGACTCTGCGCTTGATCTGTTGATGCAGTGTAAGCTTTGTATAGTAGGACTGGTGTCTCTGTAATAACCATTCTCAATAATAGCCGCAGTGGCCGAATCAGCCAGGTTTTATTCATTAAGCATGTTGGTCAGTCATCTGTGACATTTACCGTTAGTTGTACTAAGACACTCTTTAACTAGAGCAAATAACTAGTTTATTTTTTGACGAGACAACGTCTTATAATTCGATGGAGCCGGCTGCACGCACGAAAAAACATGACGCATGCGGCGTTACCTCGCTCTGAGGCGTTCCAGTTAAGGCTTGAAGTGCAAGCGAGAGCGCGGAACGAGCGAAAAAGAGGCACAACGTCTTATAATTCGATGGACCAGGCTGCACGCACAAAAAAACATGACGCATGCGGCGTTACCTCACTCTGAGGCGTTCCATTTAAGGCTTGAAGTGCAAGCGAGAGCGCGGAACGAGCAACAAAGAGGCACAATCGGCCTCCGCGTTCGGCAGCGTTCGACATCTTTATTGTATATAAAGTATATATAACGTATTATATCGATTATATTGTAGTCGATCAATTCAATTGTAATTTCCATTTACCTCCTTCTCTATATTCATACAAACAATCTATCAAACAAATAAAATTAAAATTTTCTTTTGAAAAATGCAACCATTCCATCAGTATTTTCTTATGACGTTGTCACGTTCAACTATCGTCAGTAAATCGACTTTACAGACGACCAATTTTTTCAATTCGCATTTGACTCGTGTTGTGATGTGAAGTGATGTTATTAAGTCAAAATACATAACATCGTTGTCCAGTTCGAAACACCAAGTTCCACATTTTTAATTAAAGTTTTAATAACTTCGCTGAGCTTTCATCGGTGCTGTTTGTTTAATAATACTACGCGTCTAATGAATTTTAATTTATTTGAGCAAACATCTCGCTATTTTTAAATTAAGTTTATTTTTACTATTAATTTTAGAATCGTTTATGATTCATTTGTTTAAGCGCTATAGTCGATAGCTGTATGAAGTTCGAGTTTGGTGAATAGAATTTAATTTTATTTAGGCGTTTTGTTAATTAACAACCGTACCTGTGAATATATATAACCATAAGTTTTTACTTCAAGGTTGAAGACATAAATCAAAACTTACACTAGCCTTTGGAGTTTGTTCATCAGATTATAATTGGCTTACAGCTATGTTTTGCATTATATCAAGAAAAAATACAATTAAAAATGTTGCTCGATCTATTCGAATATTATAAAGAGGAAATATTTTTGTAACGAATAAATTTAAAAAGTACTCTGCCCGATTAAAAAATCAGTTCAATATTACAATCCTACATTATCCCTAGTAACATAGCATAAGTGCGAAGCCGGGGCAGTCCATTTCTAAATACGAGTAACTAGTATTATATAGTTAGTATATACAATATACATATACATTTTTTAAAGTGCAAGACTTATTAGATCTAAAAGGAAGTGTAAAAACGGAGCGACTGAAATAAAACAATTTATAACTGAAAGTCTGAAAGCGTAATTTTATTAAGAACACTTAAAAAGAAGATAAAAGTGTAAAGTAGGAATAAAATCGCTTTTTACGTCGAAGCGTCAATGTAATAAACCTAATATTGGTCCAATACGCGTTCAAGAGGTGTGAAATGACGACCAGCCCCCACCTCCTTGGTCGTATTTTCACCAGTTAATCCAGACCTCTCTAACGTAGCTCCCTTGTTATTGGAAAGCTGTTGGTGATGTTTGATTCAAAGGATCTTCGTTAAACAGTTCTTTGCAACCCTTGGAAGTGTGTAATTAGAGAGTTGATAACGTTTAGCAAGGTATTTTGGTTATTTTAGTCAAAAGTATCAGATTATAAAAGTGTATTCGAAGTTCCGAATTAAAATTGTGTACCAAGGTAGATTAGATTATGTCGAAGCTCATTAGTGATAGATATTTAAAACATGCTTATGTATAATAATTGTAATGTTGTGATAATATTTTTAGTGCATTATTTGTGTAAACTTCTTCAAACATAATTCTAATATCCAGTCGTCCTAGCAACTAACTCAGCGAATTCTTCTGATGTTCCCATACAAATTACGTTCGTAGCTTTGGAAACAAACAATTTAAATAGCTTCACGTCCTCAAGCATTCCTTTAGAAACCTTTGTATACTCGTATTTGTGTTCTGAAGTAAGAAGTATCAGTATCAGCTTATCTTATATTATAGTTAACATCCGAATTTATTTTGTGTTTAATATATCTAATCTAATATATAAAATGCTCGTGTTACAATGTTTGCTCCCACACTCCGAAACGGCTCGACCGATTCTTATCAAATTTTTTAAGCATATTCAGTAAGTCTGAGAATCAGCTACTATCTATCTTTAAACCCCCGAAATGTGGTGGTCCACCCCTAAATTTCATTTTTTAGATAATTTTTTTGTTTTTATGTTTTTATGATACTGCATACAAACAAACATACAACCCTTAATTTTCACCACTCTACGATAAACCCCTATTTTTTATTTGTTAATTCAAATCTTATGACCTGAACTCTGAGGTTTATATAGAGAAACATTCACAGAAAAACAAGTTTTGCATGGTGGAAACGAATAACCACAAAACTATTACTGGGCCGATTAACCTTCTTTCGCTATTACGCTTAAGTAACATGACATATTAATTATTTAAAATAAATGTCCAGAATCTTGTTATTTTAATATTATATACAAAATTTCATATGCCTGTTCTTTAGTGAAGGAAAGTTAATAACCTTAATTGCCACTCGAACCACGGGAAAAGTACCCTAAGAACTCAGCAGACCGCGTAGAAGGCCAAGAGATGTAGCGATCACAATTTGAGGTATTTGGCTAAGCATGGTTGATGAGGCCGCAGCTGAGAATTACCTTTTTTCGTTATAGTCTTTACACATTTGCCTTTTGCGATCTAATAGGTAATATTTTACTTGGTCTACTCGAGTACAACACATTTAAATAATACTTATTTTACGTTTTTAAACGCAATTTATTATATAATTAAGATATTGTAATTCGACGACGTTTCGCGCTTTTAAGTCTCACACTGACTACGATTTCTGAAAAGCTAAACTTAATTCGGCAAAGTACGAAATTATTGTGTATTATATCAGTTTATATCGCTGAACAAAAGTGTTGAACCTGAAATTGTCCTTGCAAAAATACGGCTTAAAATTAATCGTTTTTCAGATGACACCTGTCGGCTCTAATTGCTTAATGAGCTGGACACGTACTGGATAACGAGTATAATTATAATGATTTATGTTTGAGCCCTTGACCACAAGGTATTTAAGTGTCAGTGGATGTTTATATTGTGGCGTTTTGATCCTATATAAATGTGCGAATTTTTGTTTAAAGAAAATTGAATTATCGCAAATAGTGTGTGGCTGAAATACTGTTAACTAAGGCGAAAAAATCGTTTTGTATCTGCAACCCGAAATAATAATATACCGGGGTTCGAAGCCTGGGTTAGTTAATTGCCATTAATTCACTGAGGTAATTTCTTCTAAATTGATTTAATTACTTACAATGTATTATTTAGGAATCAGATAATACCATCATTAGCTATAAAAGGGAAGGTATAACTATTACTAAACTTAATAAAACAGACACAAAGTTGCATCTTTCCCATGCTGCTTATTACTTTGCTATATAATATTATACACAAGTTTATACGTATTTAGTCACCTTGACGTATTTCGCTTTGATATCTGATGAATAGTTTACGAAACAATCAGATCCTATCGATAACCAATAATAACTTACGAACTATCTTCTAAATACAGTACGAATAAACGTTCCCACAAATGAGCAGGTGCCTTTAACTTTATGTTGCTAACTAAAGCGGAATGCAACTTGGAGCAACTTCAACCAAGAAGCATCACCGAGGATATTGTGTTTGACCATTTGGAAAAATACTGTTAGATGTAGTTAACAGTTTAGCGGAATGAATTGCGTTTATTTATATCATGCATAGTACTTATTTAAGATTGACTTATTAAATTGTAACTAGTTTTATAATGTAGTAAGTTTGATATTTTTGACCTGGGACGGCTGTATCTTGCTATTTAATAAAAAGTCTCTATTATATTTTTACGCTATTGTTTGGGTTCATAATACTATGAAACAGAAGATAATAAAATTATCTATTTTAGCAGGCTTTTAGATTATTAACAATTTTGTTTCATTAGTGTAATGATATGTTCAAATGAATTGGTATTTACGTATTATGAATGTTACGAAATATATTAAAACAATAAAAGATTAATTCGAAATATATTTTGTAATATATAACCTTGAGTCTCTATGTAGTTAGCTAATAAAGTAATCCTGTATGTACCTACCCCTATTAATTTATCATGTTCCGAGATATTATTAATACTGGTAACTATAAATCCAATAAAAATCCTTTTCAGTGATCACGCCATACATGTACGATTTTACATTGGTATAAATCATATTTTTGTACTTTTGTAGGTGGGAAATAACACAGTATCATAACTTAAATTTAACTTACTGTGATCAAAGAGCCGTGGATCTATAGTGGTAGTTGGAATTGTGGTATGCTCATCTTCATCATCCGGTTCAACAGTGGTTGTGGTGGTAGTGCGTTTCTTCTTTCGTCCCTGGCGGCGAGGAGGCCCCGTGGCCCGGACCGGACGCTCGGGTCTATCTGGTTTTCGGGACACCATGCTGGTCCCGCCTGGGCCGGGGTCGGCGAGCACCAGCGCCACCAGTGACACAGCCAGGAGCCGTATCACTAGTGGCGCTATTCGCCACATTTTGTCTGTAAAGGAAATGTTTAAATTATTTGCTTGTCAAGGAAACGTCTGAACTCAAGTAGGCCTAGTAGTCTTTTTAAAGAAGAATTCTGAAATGTTGAAGTTCACGAAAAGTAGTAGTTTAACTAGACTAATTAAACTACTACTTTATCTTTATTTTTGGAATTTTAAGAAGCATGAGTTTTAAGAGCTTAAAGCATTAGTGTCTTTCAGTGAGTTTTAGGCTCTTTCGGGCTTGCGTTCTAAACTTAACGCTACATAAATAATACCAGTTTGCATTTTCTAATATATACGTACAACTGTCAGCAAAAGACTAAATTTCAGTGTAGTTGGGCCACTTTATGGCATATAATGTTATGTTCAAAGCGCGTAATATAAACTCGAGTATTCTAACATGTCAAAGGAGTGACTTGCATTTAAATTAGGCATCTGAAAAGGTCTAATTTTATACCACTTGAAATATATTAATATTCTTGTGATACACCATTCCAGCTTATAAAACAGATGTTGTAAAACCTTATGAGAATTTTTTTATTAAATTATTTCAATATAAGTTAATTTCAACCATTATATTTATTTTTATTACTAGGTATGCCCGGAAAAGATCGCTTGTTTCTTATACGACCACCAACATCCTTAATAATTAATGTTACTTATTTTTATTTGTGATGTATCTAATATATCGTATGTAATCAAAAAAAAGGGTGCGTGTACAATGTACATATCGACGTAGGAAAGCATATTTGCTGTAAGTAGACAAAATACCTAAAGTGACTTTTTCCTGCCATTAGAATCAGAAAAAAAAGCCGCATCGAATGACCTGGGTCCTGTGTCTCTACGATGAAAAAAAAATTACATACGCCGTTGAAAACGCCCGTACTTATATTATTTTTAGCAAGATTAAATGCTGTATGTAGACCAAAATCTAGTCATTTCAGACATTTTGCACTTACAGCAAAAGAAAATCTGCATTTTTTTCTTTACAAATACTTACTTCTTCCCATTTAAAAACTTAACGCTACTTACAGCATTTCAGCGGCGTGTGATTTTTACATTCGTTTACTTACAGCAAGTTTAGGGAACCTACAGTTTTGGTTTTTTTTTTACCATTTACGACATTTTATTTCAACCAAACATTACATTACCAAATGACCCACTGCATTTCTAGATCTAATCATAATTATAAACTAATCTTACATCTTGAATTGCAATTAAAAGTACCCAAATACATAAATTTCCTGCATACAGCATATTTACCGCCTGTAAATTGATAATATTTCCGCGCGTACATTTTTCTTCCTTAGTTACAGCGTTTTAAAGGTTTGTGATTTAAAAAACTGTTTGCTGTAACTAGCCAAACACGTACTTATAGTAACTTTGGATAAAAAGTTTACATTGCAAATGGTGACTGGCAGTTAAATAAATATATGTTTCAAAAATGGTAGCAATATCATGGATAGGTCAGACACTATTAATTTTTTTCCGAAATTAATAAAGTTTTTTGGCTCTGGTGAACAATTGCAATATGTCTACTTACAGCAAATGTGCTTTCCTACGTCGATATGTACGCGCATTAGAAGTTTTCATAACGCGCCTTAAGCAGTATAACTTCAAAAGTAATGAGTAAGTAAATGATAACTTTATACGTCGTTATGTGTGATATGTGAAAATTGAGGATGAATTGCAAATAGCTATTAAAAGATTCAGAGGCATAATGTATCGCGTATAAACGGAAGTGTCAAAGTTTCGGCGTGCCCTAGCAAACTAAGCATTGTGGAGGTTATAACTGTCAAAGTTATTACACCCAGCCTCCAACAGATACATTTCAGACATATTGTAATTGTGCGATAAAGTTCAGCCGTATATTTGAAATGGATAAAATTAATCGAAGTGTTTTTTTAAAATATAATAGAGATTATAAATTAAAATTTTAGGAGAAGGGATGCTGCTGTTTTATCTAAAATCTATTGTAGTCTTATTATAGTATGTATCTGAGTAAATATTTAAATAGTTAATCTATTCTAAGAATGCCACATTAAAGGTGCGAAGTAGCAAGTGCTGTAATCGCAAACAGTTCGTGGGGAGGCTTTTAGACCCCCTCTCTAGAGAAATCTATGAATTTTACCACCTTCTAAACGTCGATTTTAATTTGGCGCTCTAACGAGAAGTAATTTCTGCTAACCCAGTTTAATTTTAAAAGGTTCCTTGCTACATTTAATATTACAAAAGACTAATTCTTGGTTAGATCAAGTTCGCAAAGAACGGAGCTGGAAGAAGACACATATAGGTATATAACTTCTGAATATTCGACGTCGTGTATTGACATCACTTTCCGGAACATACGAAATGTGAACCCAAAAATTTGATCAACCTTGTTGCTTTTTGCCTTAACGGTTCATTGGGATCACAAACATTTTCATATGAACCAAAGAGACATTGTTTGATTTGTGCATTCCTATACGTACGTATAGTGTTAAACACTGGGCAATACAAAAGTAATAAAGTAATAAAGAAGATACAAAAAAGTTAGAGAAGAGCTCTTAAAAGCCCAGTGCGCTATAATCATGGGTCTTGGCTTTAGTATTTGTATCTGTTTAGTCTTGGCTTGTTGGGTCTAAGGCATGTCGGTTTCCTCACGTTTTTCTTTGCCAAATGTGCACATAGAACGAAAAGTCCATTTGTGCACAGAACCTATGACCTCAGGGTTAATGATGACTGTTGATAAACTTAAAATTGGTTATCTGAAAGTGACGCAAAAGCTTCAAAGGAATAAGTTGTTTTAAAAATATTTAATCAAAACTGAATGTATAGAAGGCTGAAGGCGGTTTTCAGAGCGCTTGTTGTGGCCGTCCCATGTCAAACAATTTGGAGCGATTGACGTTTCCCTCGAATTAATTCCTTCAAAACTTTGTTTATAACACAAAAACGCTTTTAGATAAACAACCTCCCAGGTTCCTGAATTTAATAAATTAGTAAGAAATATACTTTGAATGAAGTTACTCTATTAAAGATGAATTTAAATTAAATGAAACTGTGAATTGCGCATAATAATTTTGTATGCCATTAGAATGCTACATTAACATATTTCTAAGTAACATATAATATAAGTAACATAAGGCTATATTTAATTATAATTGTAGATTTATTTCCAAAATGTAAAAAAAAACATCCAGCCGTCCGAAGCCGAGTAGATTTTTATTGATTTCTAAAGAACATAAGGTATGTTCCTCCTCATTTAGTCCTCGTTTTAATTACATTAAGTTTTTATTTACACAATAAGTCATATAAAATAGATAATAAAAATACTGCCATAGCGAAGCGATGTACTCAGGTGAGCCCAGATGGCTTAAAAGCTCGCGCTCCATCTTAAAGCAAGACTACCCCTTCCAATTTATGATGCCGTCGTGCATTTGAATAAGTTTACCATAAAAATAGGCATGCTGCGGCCAAAAATTGGGTAATAAAATGCAAATGGTGACATTGGTGACGCTATACGACTTGGGGTCATAACATAGGTTCAAGTTTCAAGGCAATATATGAGTTTTGTTTTCGATGCATGCTTTTACTAAATACATTTTACTTGAGATATATTATTATAGGTTACGTAAATGCGGATGTATATTCAAATGTATATAATGCATTCAAATAAAGAACAAAGAGTAAAAATTGCCTGAAACAAAAATATCATACAACTAGGCCAATAAAATCTCTATACCGCAGTATTATCAGAAAGTGTTGCGAAATATATTAAAAACCTGAAGCTGGAATTTACTCATAGCTCGTAAAAATGAAGAATTTTAATTTTGAACATGAGCGCGGTAGCGTTTGCAATAAGTTTGTTTATTATATTTTGTTCATAACTTTCCAACGGAATTACTTCAATCGTTATATAAGACGGATGAACTATTGTTATTAAAACATTTTGATGTACGGAAAGATTATAACGCATCTAGCTTTATTTAGTTTTTAGCATTGTTCTTATGTTAAGTCTTGTAATATTTATATATGTTCAACTTGGACTATTACCATAAAGGGAAAAGTACATTACACCTTGAAACCTTCCTAGTTATTCATTGATAAAGATTTCTTAACGAAGCTATTAACTGTAAATGGGTGATATATCTCAATTTTGTTTTACAACTAAACTTTTATACTCGTATTTAGTATATAAGATAGAAAAATAGTGAAATCAGCTTTAATTCGGTCGTAGTGTGTATCGGCCTAGTTTTCTTGTCTATTTTTATTTTCTGAATATGGAAGCTTACTAGTTTCCTGTTTCATTCACTCACTTTTCAAAATATGAGATTTAAAAAAAAATCTATTAGATTTATTAAATTATTTCCTATACAATAACGAACACGAAAATTTCAATATTTTGACAAAGTTTTTTTTAAACAATTTGAACTTTATTTTCCTTAGAATGTATGCTTGATAATCTTGTTTAAAGTTAATTTGAAATGTCTGAAGCTGTAGTTAAATTAAAATGTGTGTACTTTCATTGTTGTCAACGGAGATCAATGACCCCCTGTCGGGACCGAAAAATGTTTCAAGGTGTTTTCACCTCATCGAGAAACTGGGGTAATTAAGCGAAGGGGGACTTCAAAAGCTGATCTGTCGTTTAATGTGAGGAAAATTAATTTCGATACTCTTTGTTTTCATTTCGGGTGCCTTTGTTACCTGATACCTATTTACAGGGGATAAAAAGCTTCACGACTAATTAAAATTTACTTGATTAATTTATCGAAATGCTTTGTCATCCCAATAGTGTTCACTTCATTAGTATCATCAGTATTTTTTTATGTAAAGTTAAATGGTATAAATATAGTTTTTGGATTAAAATGATTTGAGCATGATTTTCTTAACTTAAACTAAATCAAAAAACATCAACTTATCAACGCTCTTTCTTGATACGTAGTCTTTATTATAGACTATTTTTACATCTTGGAATCAATTCGTATTAATACTTGTGTATTCACTTAACATCAGATAAGCCTCCTGCC